AAGAAAAAATACAGAATTTATTATTATTTTCAAGAATGCTTGATTATTGACGGTTTTAAAAAATTAGTAAACGAATGGACTTGGATATTTAGCATCTACTTTGTTTGTTGCTAATTTTTAACAGCTTAGCTGATTGTAAATCATGAGGATATGTTTTTTACAATTACTTATTTACTATTTTTTGTGCAAAACTTTAGCTCAGGATAGGAAAGAGTGGAGGTGCGTGTCGAACCAGTCTTAGGACTGACGACCTTATGATGATGACGATGTGCAAAACTCAAAATACTTACGAGTCTAAACAATATTGCAGAGTTTATAATTAAAAACTTTTCTGAAAATAACTTTCGATTTTATTTGCGCTTGTTTTTCAATTGTTTTTCTACCATATTTACAATGAATGTATTCCATTCGGTTTTATGATTAGTCAACCACTGAATATATATGTACATCAAACGACGAAAAGTAGTTTCATAATTAATAAACAGAGTATCACAACCGACCCAGGTTGTGGTCCTCGACTCACGGAGTGATAACATCACTTCAATCTTGCAATATTAATCGGGCGAGAAGCAGGTTACAAACCGCCTCTGTGCCAGACACTTTGATGTATTCGTAGGTGCGAGAATGTAAAATATTTCGTTGTGTAAGTCCTACGAAAACCGCACATTTTTAAATTTTAAACAACGCCCGTTTACAAAACAAAAAAAAGTTACGTTCGTGATCAGGATATCGTGGTATCGTAGATAGAGAAGAAAGAAAGAGTAGGAAAACAGAGGAAATGTCAAAGATATGGGGAGAACTATCCAACCACGAAAATGACTCTTACTTCTGCCTCCCTAAGACATTTGCATCTAATCACAAGAACAAGGATACAATAATATACGAGGTGTGTTCAAAAAGTACCGAGCGGGTTACGTGTATTCGATTTTCCATTTTCTATGGCGTTATGTTGGCACTCATGTCTCTCACTTATACCGAGAAGTTCGGCCATGTTCAATGTTCAGTTAATTTTTGACATCTGCTTCGCTTGTACGTATTTTGGCACGTCTTCGATTTTTGCCTATTCCAAAAAAATTGATCAAAGAATTTATGTCGAATTTTCTGTGAAAAACAAAGTTAGGTGCGCGGACGCATTCCGATTATATTTATTGTGGCATATGGTGAAGCTACCTTGGACCGAAACGACGTTTATCGGTGTTACAAAATGTTCTCAAAGGGGCGAGAAGATATGGACGACGAAGAGCGTGCTGGACGCCCAAGCACGTTAATAGCAGATGAAAACATTGATGAAGTGATGATAATAGTATTGGCCAATCGTCTAATCTGCGTTAGAGAAGTTGATGAGAACCTAAACATATCGATTGGCTTCTATCATTCGATT